TTTTTTGCCCTCCGGGTTATGGTCACTCATTAGGAGTCTACCCCCTTCTTTGTTTTTCTAGTGGGTTTTAGCCATCCGGGTCCGAGGCCCCTTCCTTATTCCCATGGGCGGATTTCCGTACGCAGCGAACTATACTGGATCTGCCCTATTGGCCTGCCTGCGGATCCTAGTCCCGCTCGCGCCCTCGTGGTTCTTCCGGTTCGGTCGGCTCCTCGAATAGCTCAGCCACCCCTGCCAAATAACTCTCTCCTATCTCGATTTCCCTTTGGATTATGCGTTCGTGCCCTCTCTGGTCTAACCAGGGCGCATAAAATATCAGGATATGGATGACCTCCAGTAACTCGTGCGCCCTGTTTCCCCAGAACGGCCCATGCCTCACGGCGACATCATAGAACATCCCGATGGTTAGAGAGGAAAAGTGGTCTGCCCACATTATTGCCGAGTCTGCCGGCTCCCGCGCCCTTGCGAGGCTCCCGAAGACGAGATCCATCATAAAACGGGGGACCCGGCACCTCAGCGGCGTGGTTGGTGCTCTGAATTCACGCCATCCCCCCATTTCCACCCGGGTAAGTAAGCCCACGTTCCTCCTACCCCTGACTGATTGTCCTATCCGGGTCAACGTCCGGGCGGCCCTTTGAAAAACCAGCGCCAGCTCGTGACCTTGTGCTATCTCTACCCCCAACGAGTGCCAGCCGATCTCAGGCAGATACATGGTCCCGGTAACTTCCAGATTGGAAAACAGATCATCCCTGGGTCCTCGGTCGAGTCTCAAACCTGTCCACCGACATTCTACCAACATGAAGGCAGCGTCCCTCCCCAAAGTCACAACCCGCCATTCTATATCGAACCCCCGATAAGTTGAACTCGACGGGAGGGATACTTCCCAGCGTCCACCGTTATTCCACGGCGGTCCGGGGTACCGGGGTTGGCGCGCCATTCGCACACGGGCCTGAAGTTCCATATGCTCACGTCTTGCTGCCATGGTTACCTTGGTGATTTCCTGCATGATCCACATAGGAAGTGTTACAGCCAATCCTTAGAAACCGTCCACCTACTGCCCCTTTGCCCTTCGTGTTTTTCAACTTTCTTTTCTGGTTCCAACTATTCCTCCACACCTCCGGGAGCAATAGCCTCTTCTGGCTGTTCGTACAATCGGTACAGGTCGTCTATGTAGGTCGCGCCCCGGCCTACCTCCCGCCGGATGACTCCCCACAAGGCCTCGTCATTTATATGTAGGACTCCCGGCCTAGTATTTATTGCCGTGCCGTAGAATGCAAAGCACTTCGCGGCCCTGTTCGTCCCCGAAAGGCCCCATCTCTAGAAAGGCCCGATAGTACTCTCCATACATTAATGCTTCGTCAAAATTTAGCCTAGTTACGGCAGTCACCGCCTGCTCCACTCGTTCTATGCCCCCCATTCGTCTTAGCAGGAAGGGTGGTAGACTCATCCGTACGACCTCACTGGGCAGCTCAAAACCCCCCGCCGCGACGACTTTTACCTCCGCCGTTATGTCATCTCGTTCTGGGTCTGCAAACTCAAACCCCTCCCGCCAGGTTATCTGCCATGCCCCTTCGAACATTCGCACGGGGTCATCCCCGGAAGCCAAAGCAATCCCAAAGGCCCGCCATCCCTATTCCGACAGGTGTAAGGATCCCGTCGCATGTACACGCCCTGGGCCGTTCAAGTTTACGCCCCCGAATTCCCCTCTCGCACGCCATTCCAGCTCCACTACTAAGTACACCGTATGTTCCACCAACTCTACCCCCACCCAGTCCATTACCAGATTGCCTACCGTACTTCTTGCCGGCAGGCTTATTTCAACCCTGCCCTCTGATAATCTTTGTGGCAGGATCCCACAAGGTCTATCCGCCCAGAACGTCATTCGCCGGGCCATCTCACAATGTCTCCTTTCCTGCTTTCTTAGTCCGATCGCTGCACCCACCGAGATTCCATGCCTTTCGTGTTTTAGTCCTTCAACCCTCCTACTTATCGTACACTGTTTTTTGCCGCTATCCCCAACTCATACACGTTCAATTCTACCCCTGCCCCCATTTTCCAGTTGCTGCCACTTCCCCCTCGTTTCGATCCTTATGCACCATATACGGCCTAACGTACACACTCTCTTTCTTATGTTACACCTCACTTCACAAAACACCCTCCCTACTCAGCCTTTTTGCGGTGTCCGATCCCTTGGCCTCATTCAGTCGAACCACAGTACCTCAAATAGTTTAAAGACATTGTCTACGTAGGAGGGTGCGGCCGCCGCCTCCTGGCTAACTATGGCGTCCCAAGACTCCACCTCTACCTCTAGGCGGTCATACCTGCTTATTCTTAGGACGATGATGACTTCCTCGGCTTTATCTCCATAGAAGGGCCTATATTTCAATGAGAGCCTATAGAACTCCTCAGTCAACCAGGCACACTTTATATGCACCCTTCTCATGGAGTCGGCTACTTCTAAAATGTGCTCAAACCCCCCAAACCACTCGGCTATGAATTTCGGTACCCAAGCCGTTATCCGTAGACTTGGAGGTTTGAGTTCCTTCCATCCTCCCATCACAACTCAACTACTAACTTCGTCCCATCCCTCGTTGGGGAACAACTTGCCTTCCTTTCGGGTTCGGGCCTCTGCATCCCCTAGAAGCCACATCGGGTCCTGTCCCATTGCTAACATGGTGCAAAATAGGTGTCATCCATCCTTGGAAAGGACAATCGTTCCAACTGACTCTACCTTGCCTTCTGCTATATCATCCCAACCTTCCTCTTCCCTTATCGGGTTCCAAATCCGCTCTATCCATACATATAATAAGTCCCGGGCAACCTCAAACCCAATCCAGTCGCACGTGGTCCTTCTCCATCCGTTCCCTATTGGTATAGGCATTTTTATTCTCCTCTGAGTCGCCGTGGTTCCCAACCTTTGAAGGGGTATTCCATCATCCTTTCTTCTCTAGTCATCTTTCCCTTTCCTGCACAATTCCAGGCCACCCGTCCTTCCTAAGTTAAGCTTCCCCACCCCTCTCAGAAGTCCCACTCCTCTATCTCTTCATCTTCTTCTTCATCACTGAAGTCGTCCTCCTCGTCATATACCAACTCCCTTACCTCATCTAGAAACGTCTCCCCTATTGCCACATTCCTGTAGACTATCCCCCAATGCACAGCGCTAGGGACAAAGATATTGTCTATGCTAAGGCAGTTTAGTATCTCGGCCAGCTCCTCCGCCCAGTTCCCCTCGAACGGCCCCATTTCAACTGATAACCGAAAAAAATCTTGCCTGGCGCATTGGTATAGCGCGAGGTTCGTCATGGACTGGCATATCCGTACTAGCCAGCTCCGGGTTCCGAAAACCGCATCCACTAGGAAGGAGGGCAGCACACATCGCATGGTTCTTACGGGTCGCCTCATGCTTCCTCTATCCCCAAGTTCCACCTGTACGTCTACCTTTTCTATTTCCATTTCCCTCCGTTGACATGCAGCTCACACAACCTCTGCTTCTGCCTTCCTAAACAACTCGTCCGGTGTATTCCCGAGTGCCAACTCTATGATCATAGCTTTCTCGTCATCTTGCGACAAGTAGACCCACCCCCGGGCAGCTTTGTGACAGCCTCGTCAAGCTAACATTAGTCCATGTTGTTTCTATCCAAAGGAAAGCATCCTCTCCTTCCAGCATTACCGTTTGATACGCTGGTTCAAAGTCCGTCCACGTTCCATTTTCCGGGAGGACAACCGATGCCCCATCCTTTACATTTACTGGCATTTCCGGGCCGCTAGTATAGATCGGGGAAGGCAACCATCGCGCCA